GGGTGTGCTGACGATGACTGTAGCTCTATCAAATTGCGCTTCGACATCTGGATCAGATGCATGCATAGCAAGTGCAGTGGTGAACCACCCATGTTGGATATCCACTCGGTGTTCCCTTATATGGGTATTTAAGGAACACTTGGTAGATCCAATGTATAACAAGTCCTTGTCCCACCTGTTGTCTTTAAGTGGGATAGAATAAACTCCGGGAAGTCTGGTGCAATCTGAAGGGTCTTTTTCATTCCGTAGGATGTCAAAAATCATGGGACATCTCTTGTATGCTACCTGTGCCCAATGTTTGCTGGCTATCTGCATATGCATCACTCTAAGTGATGGAAACACATGGCGAACCATCAGGTTCCTGGTTGGCATTATCACCCATGGTGGAGGTTTGTTCCAAGTGTCGGTATCGCTCAAGTAAACGGCGTGTCAGGGTCGGGTACCCGTGCTTGGTTGCTATCTTCTTAATTCGGGCTAACTTAGCTGTTAGCGCTTGTTTGGTTGAAAACTCCCTTCTGACTAGAGCATTAAAAGCCACTTTGTACAGAAATGAGTCGCATGAACTGACAAGTATCAACAACAACCCTTTCAGTTTGACGATAGGAATGGAGCAGGCTAGCATAGAGGAGGTCCACCTCCTTGTTGTTAACATTAGAATAGAAGGATCCTCCATCCACATGTCAGTATACCACAAACTGTCTGCTACTTCCACATTCATACCAGCCAGTTTGTGTGACCCATTCTCATACAAAGCAGTGGCTTTTAACACTCTAGTCAGAAGGGTACCTAGATTTCCGGGTGTGCCCTATGGTATTCTAGAGAAATATGTTCCCAGATATAAAAATAAATACTGTATAGTTACTCTATTATACCATTTCATTACAGAAATACTGCTCTTTTTGTTAACACATCATTATTATATTTATTATTAACACATCATCATATTATTTTTAGATAAATACACCCAAAGAAAATGGATAGATTTCTCAAAAAGAAGCATAATATTGAAGAATCCAATTCTGGAAGTGAGCAAAAGTTAAGTGCAAGTAAGAAAGCAAAATCACAGCTTACTTGCAAATATAATGAAAGTTATTGAAGCTTTGGTTTCATTTGGACCAAAAGTAAAGATCATCCTTTACTGCTATGTTTAGTATGTGAATGTAAAATGGCAAATGAATCATTGCTTCCTAGTAAATTGAGTAAACATTTTAAAACTACACTCTCTAATTTACAAGATAAATCTATAATATAAAGAAATTGCTTTTAGCCCTTGATTTAATCAAATTAATTAAAAACCTACTAATGTGAGGTAGGGATAAGGACTTATCCCTACCTCACATTAGTAGGTTTTTAATTAATTTGATTAAATCAAGGGCTAAAAGCAATTTCTTTATATTATAGATTTATCTTGTAAATTAGAGAGTGTAGTTTTAAAATGTTTACTCAATTTACTAGGAAGCAATGATTCATTTGCCATTTTACATTCACATACTAAACATAGCAGTAAAGGATGATCTTTACTTTTGGTCCAAATGAAACCAAAGCTTCAATAACTTTCATTATATTTGCAAGTAAGCTGTGATTTTGCTTTCTTACTTGCACTTAACTTTTGCTCACTTCCAGAATTGGATTCTTCAATATTATGCTTCTTTTTGAGAAATCTATCCATTTTCTTTGGGTGTATTTATCTAAAAATAATATGATGATGTGTTAATAATAAATATAATAATGATGTGTTAACAAAAAGAGCAGTATTTCTGTAATGAAATGGTATAATAGAGTAACTATACAGTATTTATTTTTATATCTGGGAACATATTTCTCTAGAATACCATAGGGCACACCCGGAAATCTAGGTACCCTTCTGACTAGAGTGTTAAAAGCCACTGCTTTGTATGAGAATGGGTCACACAAACTGGCTGGTATGAATGTGGAAGTAGCAGACAGTTTGTGGTATACTGACATGTGGATGGCGGATCCTTCTATTCTATTGTTAACAACAAGGAGGTGGACCTCCTCTATGCTAGTCTGCTCCATTCCTATCGTCAAACTGAAAGGGTTGTTGTTGATACTTGTCAGTTCATGCGACCCATTCCTGTACAAAGTGGCTTTTAATGCTCTAGTCAGAAGGGAGTTTTCACATTCATCAACCAAACAAGCGCTAACAGCTAAGTTAACCCGAATTAAGAAGATAGCAACCAATACACCCCTCTACCCGACCCTGACACGCCGTTTACTTGAGCGATACCGACACTTGGAACAAACCTCCACCATGGGTGATAATGCCAACCAGGAACCTGATGGTTCGCCATGAGTTTCCATCACTTAGAGCGATGCATATGCAGATAGCCAGCAAACATTGGGCACAGGTAGCATACAAGAGATGTCCCATGATTTTTGACATCCTACGGAATGAAAAAGACCCTTCAGATCGCACCAGACTTCCCGGAGTTTATTCTATCCCACTTAAAGACAACAGGTGGGACAAGGACTTGTTATACATTGGATCTACCAAGTGTTCCTTAAATACCCATATAAGGGAACACCGAATGGATATCCAACATGGGTGGTTCACCACTGCGCTTGCTATGCATGCATCTGATCCAGATGTCGAAGCGCAATTTGATAGAGCTACAGTCATCGTCAGCACACCCCACCAGGACCACTTAAATGGCTAGAATTCATAGCCATTTATAAAGCTGGCCAAGTAGCATGTGTCAATTGGAAGGAAGAGCTAAATCTGTCACTGGCCTGGCAATCCCTATTAGATGTCGACCCATGGCTACCTCCACCAGCTCACTACCACGCATGTCAAGTGAGACTGACTTCATTGAAATGACATTTGATCCCGTTGAATTCCACACACTCTGTTTGCATTTAGAAGCAATCCTAAGCTAGTTGACCTGAGGAAGAACTGTGAGATAGTTCGAAAACGTTTGTCACCTGCTGTATATATCTTTTACGTGTTGTGCACTGGCAACAGGTTTAGGGAAGTCAGGATTTTACTCCAGTGCTGAAATTAGAGTGAACTTTGTAGAATAAAGATATGTAGATGTTGAATTTTATTGCCCCCCTTTCTCTTCTTATTAAATATTTGTTAAAAATTAATTTTTTTATACAAATAAATATTAATGTAAGTTAAATATTAAAAATACTAACTATAAAAGTATTTTATACCTCTGCCCCCAATAAAATGACTTGGTTTTTAATTTTGCCGGAGTCGGAGTCAGAGTCTGTCTATCAAAATTATTAGGAAGCGGAGTCTGAGTTGAGTGTTTATTTATTGACTCCGCAGCTCTGGTTTTTGTAAGATAAGTTCAGATGAGGATTATTGAATATAAGTAGATTTTAGAAAGGCACAATAGTACAAACTTAGAAGAATAAACTAAATTAAGGAAAGAAATTGGACAAAATTTGTAAAAGAAATTTTCAAAAAATGTGTATTACTTCCATTAAACACCAACTGTACCAGAAAACTGAAACTGTACATGTAGATAAGAAATTACATCTCAATGCAAAATTTTCAGCAAAGAAATTCAATATTCTAATGTTTTCGGTCACTATTTTATCAGCCCTTATCAGGAACTGTAGAATGGAAAAACCATTCTATAAATAGAATGCTGTTGCATTCTAATGTTAAAAGTTTCAAATGCATTCGAATAAAGGCTATGATGTATCTTATGTGACATATATTATGATATACAGGGTGGACAGGAATGGAGCCTGCATCAACACGGATGTCATTCATGTACCAAATGTAAATACTATCTAGACTCATAATATATGTCATATAAGATATGTCACAGCCTTTATTCAAATGTATTTGAAACTTTTAACATTAGAATGCAACAGCATTCTATTTATATAACAGTTTTTCCATTCTACAGTTCCTGACGAGGGCCGATGAAATAGTGGCTGAAAACGTTAGAATATTGAATTTCTTTGCTGGAAATTTTGCATTGAGGTGTAATTTCTTATTTACTCCCTTTAGTTATTCTTGGCATCAACTAAAAGGGGTGGTATGCAGTTTTTTGAAAATTATAAAACTGAGTTTTAATAATTTTATAATTTTCAGTTTTATTATTAAATTCCTTAACATCATGTCAATATATATACAATGTTAGTTTTCTCCTTATTCCACAAGATATTAATATATAGTAATTAGGTTTATATTTTTTTATGAATTATAAACAATCAAAAAACAAACAGAAAATATTACAAATTTATTACATAAATCCTATATTTTTCAGATTAGATATCCTACAATATTCTGGTATCCAAAGGTCATGGATTAAATATGAATCTTTCTTAACTTATTTAAGGTCTGAATGTGTTTCTTGAACAGTAGTTGTCAGTGTTAATTTTGTAGAAACTACTTTTAGTGAATAGTGAATTTCAGAATGTAAACAAATATTTTTCAAGTAGCATATCAGAGTATATGTAATACAATTAAATACTTTAAATTCCTGTAATTTTGTTTTCTAGTTTTATACCACAAAAGTTTAAGAATTATTTGAAATAACAATATACACTGCAGTTAGTATTATTTAATCTACTAAACATATAAAATAATTTTCAAAATTTATCCAATAGATAATGTTTTGTACATTTTCATAATATTGTCTTGCTTTCAAAAAATTTTTTATATAGCTTCATTTTTTGTTAAGTAATACTATTTAATTTTGTACTGTTATTACTTCTGTCCAAACTCATTAATGCTATGGAATGAAATATTAACAAAAATATAGTTGTTAAAACAATATTGTTTATGAATTTTGATATGAAAAAGCTTGAAATTTACTTTATAATTGGCAAGTTTTATCTTATTATATCATTAGCATATTTTATTTGAAAAAAAAAGATTATATATTTTACTTAAATATAACTCTTTATAATTTTTTAATCAAATTTAATTTTATTTTCTTACATTTCTTCTATTTATTTAATTTAAACATCTTCTTATCTTTTATTTTTTTCTGTTCTTTGTGTTATCAAATTAGATTGACCATCCCCAGGGACAACTAAAGGGGGTGGTACGCAGTTTGGTTTCTACTTCAAGGAAACGTGCTGTGATTGCCTGTTTCAGAATGACTTCTCTTCATAGCTTACCAAGGTAAAGGGAAATAGAGAAAAGATTGCACAATATAATCTTAAAATAACTTTTCTCACTAATTCTCTTCAATAGCATGTTTAGAGTTGACTGCATAAAAATATAATGCATTTCAATAAACTTTATAATACAGTAATAATATTTTGCTATTTTTTAATCATTTTAAAAACACTTCTTATAATTTAATTTTTCATTATACATTGAATTGTTAATATTCCAATATTTCATTTTCCACAGAATAATTGAATATATTTAATTTTGAGCAAGTAGTCATATATATGTTTTTTATATACTACATAAATTCATCATATCTTAGTGTAATTCAAAAGTTATACTGCAACTTGCTGGTGGTGTAGAATGTTAATAATATTTTTTCAAATAAATAAATTAANAAGAAATTGGACAAAATTTGTAAAAGAAATTTTCAAAAAATGTGTATTACTTCCATTAAACACCAACTGTACCAGAAAACTGAAACTGTACATGTAGATAAGAAATTACATCTCAATGCAAAATTTTCAGCAAAGAAATTCAATATTCTAATGTTTTCGGCCACTATTTTATCAGCCCTCATCAGGAACTGTAGAATGAAAAAACCATTCTATAAATAGAATGCTGTTGCATTCTAATGTTAAAAGTTTCAAATGCATTCGAATAAAGGCTATGATGTATCTTATATGACATATATTATGATATACAGGGTGGACAGGAATGGAGCCTCCATCAACACGGTTGTCATTCATGTACCAAATGTAAATACTATCTAGACTCATAATATATGTCATATAAGATACATCATAGCCTTTATTCGAATGTATTTGAAACTTTTAACATTAGAATGCAACAGCATTCTATTTATAGAATGGTTTTTCCATTCTACAGTTCCTGACGAGGGCCGATGAAATAGTGGGTGAAAACGTTAGAATATTGAATTTCTTTGCTGGAAATTTTGCATTGAGGTGTAATTTCTTATTTACTCCCTTTAGTTATTCTTGGCATCAACTAAAAGGGGTGGTATGCAGTTTTTTGAAAATTATAAAACTGAGTTTTAATAATTTTATAATTTTCAGTTTTATTATTAAATTCCTTAACATCATGTCAATATATATACAATGTTAGTTTTCTCCTTATTCCAGAAGATATTAATATAATTAGGTTTATATTTTTTTTATGAATTATAAACAATCAAAAAACAAACAGAAAATATTATGAATTTATTACATAAATCCTATATTTTTCAGATTAGATATCCTACAACATTCTGGTATCCAAAGGTCATGGATTAAATATGAATCTTTCTTAACTTATTTAAGGTCTGAATGTGTTTCTTGAACAGTAGTTGTCAGTGTTAATTTTGTAGAAACTACTTTTTAACATAGTGAATTTCAGAATGTAAACAAATATTTTTCAAGTAGCATATCAGAGTATATGTAATACAATTAAATACTTTAAATTCCTGTAATTTTGTTTTATAGTTTTATACCACAAAAGTTTAAGAATTATTTGAAATAACAATATACACTGCAGTTAGTATTATTTAATCTACTAAACATATAAAATAATTTTCAAAATTTATCCAATAGATAATGTTTTGTACATTTTCATAATATTGTCTTGCTTTCAAAAAATTTTTTATATAGCTTCATTTTTTGTTAAGTAATACTATTTAATTTTGTACTGTTATTACTTCTGTCCAAACTCATTAATGCTATGGAATGAAATATTAACAAAAATATAGTTGTTAAAACAATATTGTTTATGAATTTTGATATGAAAAAGCTTGAAATTTACTTTATAATTGGCAAGTTTTATCTTATTATATCATTAGCATATTTTATTTGAAAAAAAAAGATTATATATTTTACTTAAATATAACTCTTTATAATTTTTTAATCAAATTTAATTTTATTTTCTTACATTTCTTCTATTTATTTAATTTAAACATCTTCTTATCTTTTATTTTTTTCTGTTCTTTGTGTTATCAAATTAGATTGACCATCCCCAGGGACAACTAAAGGGGGTGGTACGCAGTTTGGTTTCTACTTCAAGGAAACGTGCTGTGATTGCCTGTTTCAGAATGACTTCTCTTCATAGCTTACCAAGGTAAAGGGAAATAGAGAAAAGATTGCACAATATAATCTTAAAATAACTTTTCTCACTAATTCTCTTCAATAGCATGTTTAGAGTTGACTGCATAAAAATATAATGCATTTCAATAAACTTTATAATACAGTAATAATATTTTGCTATTTTTTAATCATTTTAAAAACACTTCTTATAATTTAATTTTTCATTATACATTGAATTGTTAATATTCCAATATTTCATTTTCCACAGAATAATTGAATATATTTAATTTTGAGCAAGTAGTCATATATATGTTTTTTATATACTACATAAATTCATTATATCTTAGTGTAATTCAAAAGTTATACTGCAACTTGCTGGTGGTGTAGAATGTTAATAATATTTTTTCAAATAAATAAATTAATTAAATGTATATAAAAACAATTTCTTGCACACATGTATCATTTATAGTAATTATAATAGATATCTGTATTCATATGAAAATGCTGAAAAGCTTCAAATTATTAACTTGTTGATTGTAAATAATACTCAACAAATGCCAATCATAACAGATTTTTTAATTATTTGAAATTGAAACATTTAATTAATTATTTTAAAATTATTGCAAATTCTTGAAAAATGTTTTAAAATACTTATATCTTTTTAAAAAATAATAATTACTATAATACTTTTGAAGTTGTCAGTCACTAAAAAATTTTTCAGAACAAAAATAATCTTTGCACTTTTCGCAATTAAATTGTAAAATGGCAAAAAGAAACATTTTTAATTAGACTTTAAATCTAAAAATTCTGAAAATTTTTATACGAAAAAAATTATCTTTATTCAAAAATAATAGATATTTTTGGTTTCTTGATCAATCATTTATGATCTGTTTTTGAATAAAGATCTCACTGAACAATTTCCACTACTTTCTTTAATTTGTTTTTATCATCCATTTCACCATAATTTTCCTAATAGTTCCATTTCTCCAATTGCTGATTGGTCTTTTACTATCATTGCTAGGTTTGTCCATCTCTCATTTCTCAATTTTGACACTTGCCTGACCCATCTTTATTTTGCATTTATTATGTATTTTCCTCTCTTTAAGCATTAACCTGAACTATTCTACNAATTCCACACACTCTGTTTGCATTTAGAAGCAATCCTAAGCTAGTTGACCTGAGGAAGAACTGTGAGATAGTTCGAAAACGTTTGTCACCTGCTGTATATATCTTATACGTGTTGTGCACTGGCAACAGGTTTAGGGAAGTCAGGATTTTACTCCAGTGCTGAAATTAGAGTGAACTTTGTAGAATAAAGATATGTAGATGTTGAATTTTATTGCCCCCCTTTCTCTTCTTATTAAATATTTGTTAAAAATTAATTTTTTTATACAAATAAATATTAATGTAAGTTAAATATTAAAAATACTAACTATAAAAGTATTTTATACCTCTGCCCCCAATAAAATGACTTGGTTTTTAATTTTGCCGGAATCGGAGTCAGAGTCGGTATATCAAAATTATTAGGAAGCAGAGTCTGAGTTGAGTGTTTATTTATTGACTCCGCAGCTCTGGTTTTTGTAAGATAAGTTCAGATGAGGATTATTAAATATAAGTAGATTTTAGAAAGGCACAATAGTACAAACTTAGAAGAATAAACTAAATTAAGGAAAGAAATTGGACAAAATTTGTAAAAGAAATTTTCAAAAAATGTGTATTACTTCCATTAAACACCAACTGTACCAGAAAACTGAAACTGTACATGTAGATAAGAAATTACATCTCAATGCAAAATTTTCAGCAAAGAAATTCAATATTCTAATGTTTTCGGTCACTATTTTATCAGCCCTTATCAGGAACTGTAGAATGGAAAAACCATTCTATAAATAGAATGCTGTTGCATTCTAATGTTAAAAGTTTCAAATGCATTCGAATAAAGGCTATGATGTATCTTATGTGACATATATTATGATATACAGGGTGGACAGGAATGGAGCCTGCATCAACACGGATGTCATTCATGTACCAAATGTAAATACTATCTAGACTCATAATATATGTCATATAAGATATGTCACAGCCTTTATTCAAATGTATTTGAAACTTTTAACATTAGAATGCAACAGCATTCTATTTATATAACAGTTTTTCCATTCTACAGTTCCTGACGAGGGCCGATGAAATAGTGGCTGAAAACGTTAGAATATTGAATTTCTTTGCTGGAAATTTTGCATTGAGGTGTAATTTCTTATTTACTCCCTTTAGTTATTCTTGGCATCAACTAAAAGGGGTGGTATGCAGTTTTTTGAAAATTATAAAACTGAGTTTTAATAATTTTATAATTTTCAGTTTTATTATTAAATTCCTTAACATCATGTCAATATATATACAATGTTAGTTTTCTCCTTATTCCNCTTGGTTTGATGTACTTTAGTGAAAGTAAATGAAATACTCAAGATCAGCATTAAAATTCAGGATATAAACACAATATAAAAATAAAACAATCTTAATTATGAAGAAACATTTAATAAAGAGCCAAAAATGTTTATTTTACTTTTATCAGAAGAAGAGAAAAGAATCAGCTTTGGATCAATTCTTTTCTTCCAGGATACTGTATTCTAAATTATATTAAAATTTATATCAACTTCCTGAAACTCAAAACATTGTAAATTATTTAATAAGTTATTAAAATTATAATTATTAATTTAGGTAAGAGATTGCACCTAACACATACCTCTAGTACCAAATTACTTAGTTTCTAATTATTAAATATAGCATATTAATAGCCTGATTAATTACAGTGATTGTTTGGCTTAGTATTAGAATTTATTTATTTATTTAGACTTATTATATTTGTCACAAGATGGCAGCCTAACTGCCTACCTCTAGCCAAATTATTTTGTTCCAGATTATTAATTACACTTAAAACAGTCT